CCCCAAAACCCCAAAACCCCAAAACCCCATTAGTTAAATCTTTAAGATTAAATGTGATGTTTCTATAAATTTAGAGATAATTATAAAATTATTGAAGAATAAAGCATTATTAAAATAGATGGTGATAAATTTCTACATCTCAGAGTCAGGCTATAAGCTCGATAATATTGATTAGATCTCAAGGTACTTATTAGTTAAAATTCTTTTTATCCCCTTATTTAGACCTATTGAAGCCATTCCTTACTTAGCAGATCTCTTCCAAATTGAAGATCATAACATTGTGCAGGAAGCAGTCTAATTCGTCAATGCGAAAGATGGATAAATTCTAGATTTAAATGATCTGATAGATAGACCTACTTCTGACACTGAGTAAATTGAAAAGATCTATATATTCTGCAAGTAATCGAAGCTAAACAAAAATACTATTCCATTTCTACTAAGTAAATCAATCTAATGTAAAGTAGTTTATCATTATTAGAAAATCAAGTAAAGCAAATCAACTTGAGAACTGATAAGCTAAATAACTTTGAAATTTAATAATTTGCGCAGAGATACAAGATCCAGCCAGATAAGCTTAAATCTCTCATAAAAGATAGTTCTTTTACAAATATTTCTCAATACTATAATAACGCATTATTGGTTTAATAAGTTGCTCTTAAATTTTCAAGGTCAAACTAGATAATTGAAAAGTATTTAAGAAAAATGATAGAATAGTAAGAAGTTTAAAATGATGCACAGTACTTATATCTCAGCTATCATAAAAGATTTATTGAGTAAGACGCTTAAATCCATAAATTATTTTATTAGAGAGGAACTGATCTCTTCAGAAAAGGTTTTTTAAGCTAAAATCAATCATCAGATTCAATTAATTGACTAATTTGATCAAAATCTTGAAATTCTTTAGAACATATAAATTGGATAAAACAGGAAGATATCTGACTACTTCAACTCAGATAAATTGAAAGAAAAAAGACATAAAATATAGAAGAAAAATTAAAAGATGCAAGAAATGCTTAATGCATATACTACTCTTCTTCAAAATGGGAGATAATAGATAGAGAAATTAATTAATCCTGTAATTGAGTTAAGAAAAGAAAACTAATTTGATTAGAAGGTCATGATAATTCAGGAATAATCTTAGAACATGAAAGCTTGTATATCTAGAATTGAAGATTTCTCAAACAAGATAACAAATTAGCATATTGCCTCTTTAGTAAAAAATTACAATGGCTAACCATTGATGTTAGCTGATTTCATCAAACAAGTTCATATTTTGTGTAAGTAAACAAATAATATCTAAAATAACCTCATTTTTCTTTAATGTTAAAGTCTTTATCCATTTTGATCAATTTTTTAGATTTATCTTACTTTTCATCATTATAGAGTAATAAATAAATAGCGAGAGTTCAATGGGAAAAGATATAATAGAAAGGCTAATCTAAACAATTAGCTCTTAAGAGAGGCAATAGCAGGAAAGATATATTGAGCTTAATAAGTAAATTAAAGAATTGTAACAGAATCTTATGAAAGAAATCGATTATTCAAGAACTAAAGTGATAAAAAAGTTGAAGGAGTTTAATTCATAGAATCCATTTCTTTTACTTCCTAAGAAATTGCCAGAATCATATAACTTATCACTTGAGGAGTTGGAAAGACGAAAGACTTTCAATATATTCCTTGCCTATATATGTGAAAAGCTGAGAGCATTCTCATAGTAAGAAAGGGATAGGCGTCAAAATTTTAATTAAGCCAATGGAATATATTTGCCAAAGAGCTTACTTCCTTAAATAGCTGATCCAATGCCAGACTTTACTTTTGTGATGCCCTCTAACTTCAACCTTGAGATGCACTCTGATGATTTAAAAAAGTATAAGGGATCGATTGAAAGATTAATAATGAATACCTTTGAATTGGGGTTCGGATAAGAAAAGGAAGGGAGATAAAATTAGTAGAATAACCTTGTTAACTATTAAGAAATCCAAACGCTGAAAGAATAATATGAAAAGAAGATTCTATAGTAGGATTAGAAAATATTAGAAGATAAAGCGAGAATCTAAGAGTTGGAATAATCTATTAAGGAATAAGGAAAGTATATTAAATCTATCGAGGAGTATAAGAAATATTATGAAGATTTGGAAAAGGTGATCATTGCACTGAATGAATGTGTTTAAAAAGCTGATTAGGCGGATAACAAAGAGTTCAATGATTATTAAGAATAGATCAATAAATTAAATCAGATGCAAATTAATAATAGCCTTAGTCAATCCACCGTTTTCAAAAACTTCTAGCAAAAGAAATTGAAGGAAAGATGTAAATTGATGATTCTGTATGTGGAGGACTGCTTAAACCGTTATTTGGAGCATAAAGAAACCCTAGATGAATTAAATTATAGACAAGAAGCTGTTAATAAGCTAATTCAGATTATTGAAGATGTTAAAATCGTTATCTCTGACTACATATTCGAGTCAGAGACTTATCATGATAAAAATCAAATAGATGATGAGATCAGATTGAAGATCTAAGAAAGTGGGATGGACGTTGATCAAGATTTCTTCAAGAACCAGGATGAAAGAGATCTGAACTATGAGGAGGAATACATTAAAAATGGATTACTCATTATTAGAAAAATAATTAATTAGAACATGATAAAGTACATAAAATTAAAGCTAGAGTATGATGATTTCAAGAAGGATTAGCTTGAGAATATCGACAAGGAGGTCAATTTTCTATTTTAGGATTAAACAAAATGTCTGAAATATATGGATAAACCTATGATCAAAGATGAGGTCTTATTTATTTGCACTGAGGATTGCAAATACAGAGCATTCATTGATTAAAAGGAAGGAGAAATTCAATACCTCTTGAACTTAAATGATTCTAACATGCTTTTGTCACTAGATAAAATACCAAAGATAGTGAGAGGAAAGATTTACTCAATTGAGCAGCTTCGTGACATAAACGAGGGATTCACCTACTACAGTTGCCAAGCCAACTTAAATTTCCTTGGTAATGATGTATGAAAAATGAGATTTATGCCTTAATACAATTGCTAAGTGGTTATCATCTATATTCTTAATCCTTAAACTTCAAAAACACACTTAATTTTATTTTCAAAAATTTAAGCCAATTTAATTGAATTATTTTTTTTTCTTGGGGTTTTGGGGTTTTGGGGAGATCG